TGACATAAAAAAAAAAAAAAAAAAAAAAAAAAAAGAAGAAAAGAAAAAGAAAAAAGAAAATCAAAAGTTCCCACTAAAGCTCTTGATTTGCAATAATACATTAGAATTGAAAAGCAGAATTTTGTTGTGTAAAATTAGTAATAGTCTCCTATAAATACCACTAAACTACAAAATATAAACTATTAGATAGGACTAACCTCAATATTAAGGGACCTATCTCCTCTTTAATGGTTTAAACTATGTAGTGTAATGTATTTAAAATAACACAATACTTTTTTGTACCAATAAACATAAGAAAAAAAATAAAATAGCACAGTTTTATATGGTTTTTGGAACTTCCAAGAGAAACTAGAACCAAGTCATTTTGGGTGAAATCAACTTATATAAATTAAAGAAACTCTTATATTAATTTATAATGGTATATTTTAATATAAGATTGTTTTAAAATTTTGAATGATGCATTAGTTGATAAAATTTTAAAATGCATAATTGAAAATTAATGTAATACTTATACCAATATATATATATATATATTGAAAATAGTATTTATATCAATATTTAATATAAATTGATGCTAACTATTCACAAACTAACATAAAATTAAATATGTAATGATATGATTTAAGCACTAAAGTATCAAGATGCTCATCCTACTAATAATTTAATTAGACTAAGACTTCATGAGTAATAATATAACTTTCCTTTACGAAAAAAAATTCATATTTTACTATCTAAACTGTGTATTAAAAATGTAATTTGTTTCATGAATTTATTAAAATATTTTAAATAAAATAATATAAAAAATAATTTTATTAAAAATATTTTATAAAATTTATTAAATAAACTATACTTTTAATGTATAATCTGTTTTATAAAAAATAAAAGAAAAAAAAAACAAAAAGAAAATGTCACTTTCCTTATCCTTAATCTAAAGACGTCTTACAAAAGCAATGAGGGCCTGTCTCCGCTAATTTTCTATGAATATTTTAAGGCCCCCCATTATTATGGCGTCTCATAATAACGAATCCAGCAAATTGCCTTGTGGTCGTGCACCTGGCCTTGTGGCCTATTTGCTTAGAGCCAGCTTTGAATCTTTGAAAGTGCATTTTTACATGGCATGGTATTAATTTCAATTATGTAATTTAATAGTTTAGAATTTAAAATTTAAAATTTAAAATTTAAATTTTAAGTTTTAAATTAATTAAAAAATAAAAAAATAAAAAAAATTATTTTTTCTCATGTAACTCATAATATGTATATATATATATATAAAAACTTGGCATGATATTAGTTTATATTCCGTTGTTACCTGAAATTTGTACTTATTTGAAAAAAATAATAATAATTGCCTTGTGGTCGTGGAGATCAACCCGAATTTGACGCATCACACGCTGTGCTGCGCTGTGTAGTATGCATTAAATCCGTGGATACGTGCTGACATAATCAAGATGGGACGATCCCTGATTCATATCCGATATCGGTGGGGTTACCCAGTTTTCCCGACGCGTCAGACACCGCGACAACCCCTTTTGCACGTTAGTCCACAGACCACAGTAATTCCACTCAAAATCTGACGCCAGGTTTCTCCGAAAGCAACTAATATGCTGTATTAAATAAAAAATATATATTATATAGTTTAAATTATATTAAATTATATAATTATAATTATTAAATAAACATAAACTTCATAAATTTAAGAGTTTTATTTTTTATAATTTAATTTATAAAATAAAAAATTTATTTCAAATTACTAAGTCATTTTTATCAAAAAATAAAAAATAAATTACTAAGTCACCGAAGTGCACCCCTTTCTAGGTGGAATTATTGTACACATTTAATTATTAATGTTATATTTTTTAAATATAATTGATTACATATTTTTCATATTATTTTTTTAAAATTATAATTTTTTATTTTTAAATAAATTTAAAAATATAATAATTAATTA